ACTGCTCAATGAAATAAGAGAGGACACAAACAGATGGAGAAACATTCCATGTTCATGGTTAGGAAGAATCAATATCATGAAAATGGCCATACTGCCCAAAGTAATTTACAGATTCAATGCTATCCCCATCAAGCTACCAATGGCCTTCTTCACAGAACTGGAAAAAACCACCTTAAACTTCATATGGAACCAAAAGAGAGCCCGCATAGCGAAGTCAATTCTAAGCAAAAAAAACAAAGCAGGAGGCATCACACTACTGGACTTCAAACTATACTACAAGGCTACAGTAATCAAAACAGCATGGTACTGGTACCAAAACAGAGATATAGACCAATGGAACATAACAGAGGCCTTGGAGGCAACACCACACATCTACAGCCATCCAATCTTTGATAAACCTGACAATAACAAGCAATGGGGAAAGGAGTCCCTGTTTAATGGTGTTGGGAAAACTGGCTAGCCATGTACAGAAAGCAGAAACCGGACCCTTTCCCAACACTTTACACTAAAATTAACTCCAGATGGATTAAAGACTTAAACGTAAGACCTAACACCATAAAAACCCTAGAAGAAAACCTAGTCAAAACCATTCAGGACATAGGCATAGGCAAGGACTTCATGACCAAAACACCAAAAGCATTGGCAACAAATGCCAAAATAGAAAAATGGGATCTAATCAAACTCCACAGCTTCTGCACAGCAAAAGAAACAGTCATTAGAGTGAATCAGCAACCAACAGAATGGGAAAAAAATGTTTGCGATTTACCCATCTCACAAAGGGCTGATATCCAGAATCTACAAAGAACTAAAACAGATTTACAAGAATAAACCAAACAGGCCCATTCAGTAGTGGGCAAAGGACATGAACAGACACTTTACAAAAGAAGACATACATGAGGCCAACGAACATGAAAAAATGCTCATCATCACTGGTCATTAGAGAAATGCAAATAAAAACTATATTGAGATACCACCTCACACCCGTTAGAATGGCAATCATTAAAAAGTCTGGAGACAACAGATGCTGGAGAGGATGTGGAGAAATAGGTACAGTTTTACACTGTTGGTGGGAGTGTAAGTTAGTTCAACCATTGTGGAAGACAGTGTGGCAATTCCTCAAGGACCTACAAATAGAAATTCCATTTGACCCAGCAATCTCATTACTGGGTATATATCCAAATGATTATAAATCGTTCTACTATAAGGACACATGCACACAAATGTTCATTGCAGCACTGTTTACAATAGCAAAGACCTGGAACCAACCCAAATGCCCATTGATGATAGACTGGACAGGGAAAATGTGGCACATATACACTATGGAATACTATGTTTTTAATACTCAAAAACGATGAGTTTGTGTCCTTTGTAGGGACAAGAATGAACCTGGAAACCATCATTCTCAGCAAACTGACACCAGAACAGAAAATCAAACACCACATGTTCTCACTCATAGATGGGTATTGAACAATGAGAACACATGGACACAGGGAGGGGAGCATCACACACTGGAGTCTGTTGGGGGGAAACAGGGGAGGGAAAGCGAGGGGTGGGGAGTTGGGGAGAGATAGCATGGGGAGAAATGCCAGATATAGGTGATGGGGAGGAAGGCAGCACATCACACTGCCATGTGTGTACCTATGCAACAACTTGCATGTTCTTCACATGTACCCCAAAACCTAAAATGCAATTTAAAAAAATTGAAGGAAAAAAAGACTGATCTGGACTTGCTGATTTCAAAAATTAGTTGCAATATTGGGATGGGAAAGATTTTAAAGGTAATCTGACTTTTGGGACTAATAACTTTAGAACAAACGTCCCTAGAAACAAAAGCCTCAGCACTTTGGGAGGCCGAGGTGGGCAGATTGATTGAGCCCAGGAGTTCAAGACCACTCTGGGCAATATGGTGAAACCCTGTCTCAAGAAAATATACAAAAATTAGCCAGGTGTGGTGGCACATACCTGTAGTCCCAACTACTAGGGAGGCTGAGGTGGGACCATCACTTGAGTTCAAGAGGTCAAGGCTACAGTGAGCCATGATTGCACAACTGCACTCCAGCCTGGGCAACAGAGCAAGACTCTGTCTCCAAAAAAAAAAAAAAAAAAAAAGAAAGAAAAAAGGAAAAAACAAAAGCCCCAGTGCCTCTCCAATAACTCTTGGAACCTACTGAGCCCTTCTAGGTGGACTTACTGCATTTTGGTTGGGTTTACCTGGAAGCAGACCTAAGATAAAGATGTTAAGACATGTGGATGATTTGGGAAGCAGCATTGAGGGGGTGGGTGATTAAGACAGGGAATATAGAAACACTAATAGTATTTACCACTGTGGGCAACTCAACTGAGGACTCATGTGGAATAAGCCTGAGGATTGCTTCTCTGAAGATTGAAATGTCTATCAGCTGACTAACTCCTGCCCCATTTAGTTGAGGGTTGCCTTGGGTTAAATCCCTGATACTCCTATGGTGGTTTCAGGGCTCTGGGGAAAGGCTTGAGACAGAAAAGCAGAGTGTAGGACTGCTGGGAGTGGGACTTGTCAGGCTGCTTGTAACTGTCCACTACAGCAAAGCTGAAATCAGAGGTGGCCGAAGTGTGTGACTCAGGGCTGCATCTGTCAAGGAACATCTTTCCAGTGAAACTCTGTAACAACAGGACATCCAATGACATATGACTTCTAGTGCAATTTTATATAAAGTGGTTTTCTTTTTATTAATGAAACATTTCATTGCATTAAGGGTAGAAATAAACATGTCAAGAACTGCATGAAACGAACCAACTGTATAACTACATGAAGAGCATTCTGGTCAGTATTCTTGTTAACAGGCACAAGCAATTTACTCTAGTGATAATGCCCAGAGGGGCCAACGATGCGGACTACCTTTTGCAGGACTCATATCTTGAGCGATTTAAATGAAAAATTAGCCTCCCTTAAGTAAAAACCCCAATAGGGGTTACTGGTGTAGTGCTTGTTCCACTTGACCATTAGTGATCTTTCTAGAACATGAGGAAATAAGTCTAGTTGGAAAAGCCTGGAACTAAAAGTGGCAAAGCCCATTTCCTGTCCTGTGCTCAACTCCTAATTTTCCCTGAGAGAAGTGAGTTAAGCTCTCCGTCTTGGTTTTTTCCTCTCCAAGTTGAGGATCATGGTACCAGAAGCTTGCATTCTGTGATCATGACAGTGCTTACAATCCCAAAGCCTTTGGGGGTCTTTCTAGGATAACGGCCACGAGAGAATGAACATGAGAAATAATTTATTTTCAACTTTAAAACCAAATAGGTGCATTCATTCCTCTTAATCTGTAATTTTGACTGTAGTTTGTAGGTCTGTCTCAGACTTTTCAGAAGGATAGTATCAAATGTGATTTATACCAAGTAACTCTTAAGAATCATGACACAGGCCAAGCACTGTGGCTCACGCCTATAATCCCAGCACTTTGGGAGGCCACGGTGGTTGGATCACGAGGTCAGGATATTGAGACAATCCTGGCCAACATGGTGAAACCCTGTCTCTACTAAACAAAAATTAGCTGGGTGTGGTGGCATGTGCCTATTGTCCCAGCTACTTGGGAGGCTGAGGCAGGAGAATCGCTTGAACCTGGGAGTGGAGGTTTTAGTGAGCTGAGATTGTGCCACTGCACTCCAGCCTGGCGACAGGGCAAGACTCTGTCTCAAAAAAAAAAGCATCATGACACAAGTATGGAAGTAATATGTTTTTGGTCTCCCTGCCAGTGTGCGACTTAGTCTAAATGTGTTTATTATTAACTGTTATCATTTACAGTATTTAAAATATCCTCCTCATAGATGATTATATCCTGATAATAGGACTGAACCAATAAGTATGCACTAGCTTGTCAATTTTATTAGTATGGATAAGTACATGCATAAATAAGACATGCCCAATTATCTTGTTAAATACTGATAAATTCTAAACATCTAGATATTTAGCCTTATTGAAGACCAAATATTTTTGTTAGTTTTTTACATTTTGGTGAGTTGAGTATCTAAAGGTTCTATCTTGATTCTTTAGAAAAGCTGAGTTTGATGAACTGCCTCTTCAAAAGGGGAAATATATCACATGTTGCTTTAGGGTAGAAAAAGGAAACATTGTCAGTAAAGTGATTTATTACCTCAATACAGAGATTAAAAAGCTATGGAAATAAAATCTATATTTTTCATTTGCTTACATTGAAATCCAATTTTAAACAAAAAAAAAATCCCTTTGAATGGTTCAGTTGTTAAGAAATTCAATAAGCACTTTGTCAGCTAAACGAAGGCTTCTCAATTGAAAATAAATGGTGAACTTAGAGAATCAGAGAAAATGCCCTTAAAAAGCCGGGCGCGGTGGCTCAAGCCTGTAATCCCAGCACTTTGGGAGGCCGAGGCGGGTGGATCACGAGGTCAAGAGATCGAGACCACCCTGGTCAACATGGTGAAACCCCGTCTCTACTAAAACTACAAAAAAAATTAGCTGGGCATGGTGGCGCGTGCCTGTAATCCCAGCTACTCAGGAGGCTGAGGCAGGAGAAACTCCGTCTCAAAAAAAAAAAGAAAAAAAAAAAAAAAAAGAAAATGCCCTTAAATATGCTTCAATTCTGAACACTGTGACATATGATGGCTCCTGATCCCCTGACTTAAGTTATGCTGAAACCAAGAAGTCCTTTGAAAAGTGGTAGCTCTGCTTCTGGTCCCAACACACCTTTCTTTAAAGTACTTTGTGCGGTATTTTAAACATCCATCATTCTGTCAGCAAAATGATTGTCACAGGAAGTGTAGGGCACATGTTTCTGTATTCGGTGAGTGACAGTGAGCTACAAAGCACTGGAAGGAACTGAATCTGAGGAAATAACTTGTAAAAAGAATTTCAAAAGTACCAAGAAGAAAGCTTTTCCAGAAGAAATGTCTCTTGAGTCTAATCAGACTCTCTGAAACTTATGTGTAACTTAGGCTGCAGATAGATGGATTTGCCATATTCATAATTTTACAAATAATCACTCAAAAGTAGATTAATTAATACAGTATCATATTTGGCAAGGGTAACTCAGGAAGAAAAATCAGTTACTCATTACATTCTCTCAGAAGCATCTTTTCACATCACAATCATTTTGACTAAAAAAATAACAACTATCCACAAGCATCATAACTAGCATTTAGTTCTACTATACATGAAATATCTGTACTTATCCTCACCAACATTATTTATGCATTCTCTTCATTCACAAAAGTACATGTTAAAAATCCTTAGGAGCTTATCAATATCAACTCACTGGTATCACCCCACCCAACCCCTTTCCCATTTGATTCTACCCAGTATTTTATTGTAGTTGGAAGACTGAGTTTTCCTGGAGGAATTATGAAATGAAGATTAGCATAAAATGTAACATGTAATGTTTTAGAAATCAGATGCATTTGAATGATATATTGGCTACCATTTTACCCTGGGTCCCGAACTCTTAATTGACTTCTGTTTTGCAAGTGAAATGGAGGAATACAACATAAAATGGTATATATGGATTTTGAGCACAAAGTTTGGTGAAAGAAGCACACTGAATAAAGTTAGACCAAGTAGCATTAACATGTGATGCAGAGACATTTTATCCACAACAGTGGTCACAAAATTCTGGAGCTAACAGCAACCAACAACAAAAGAATTACTATACAAGGGCTTATTAAATACTTGCTAGACACATAAAAAAACAATTTCAGAGCCCACATGATTTTATAAAGCTTAATGTTGAGCCATGTCAGCCTGCTCTTTAACCTCTGGCCAGAATGTTCCTATCACTTGCCAGCGCTGTGTCTTTTCCGTCCTTTCAACAGGCAACAAGCCTGCAAGGATGTGGAGGGTTTCCCCTTGCCATGGTCCAGGTCAGGACAGCTCACACGGTTCCTTCACCAAGCACAGGCGATGTTTACGTTCGAATGAGGGGTGCTCTTTCATCTGCTGTTCCCTGAGACACAGAAGAGAGAAGAAAGGAAGTTAGGTGTTTCATGTCAGAAACTTCTCCCCAGTGTGAGAAGTTTGGGTGAGGAGTGGGGATATGGAAGGAGGAGAGACCTATAAGAAGGTGGCTCATCCCACTCACCTCCCTTCTTGGGCTGCTTCTTGTTAAGATTCAGCCCCAACCTTTTCAGGAGGTTCTCTGACTACTCCCACTCTCAATACCAGAACAGTGTGCTTCTCTGTGTTGATCTGGATTATAAAACTTATCAGACTCTATTGAATTTGCATTCTTACTGGTTTGAAACCTAATAGGGAATAGTGTCTCAGAGACAGTAGTGCTCAATAATTGCTTGCTTGTTGAATATATGAGGAAGGTTAATTGGAGGAGCAGTAATTAACATTTCCATGAGGTTTCATTTGTGCCTAAGACAATTTCAGTGACTGCACAAAGTCAGACTGGAAGATCCACACATAGAAATGGCAAAATAGTTTGCCTCACAGCTAATTCAGGCTGAAGTGACTGGCATGGGATAAGAGAAATAATGGAAGAGTATGGAAGTCAGGGAAATCCAGCTAATTTTACTCAGATGGTTTCACCTATTTATTTTCTACTTCACATTTGCCTTGGACACTTAGTTGAGGAAACTGGAGGAAAAAAAAAGCCTGTGTTGCAATAAAAAAAGGAAGCTGCAGAAAATTTAAGCAGGGCTTCTACAGAAAAGGCTTATGGGAGGTTTTCAGATTCTACAGAAAAGGCTTATGGGAGGTTTTCAGGCTGCTGGTCACTTGGAGAGACCAACCCAACCCTTTATCCTAGCCTGCCAGGAAAGTAACTATGCCCACATTCCACTGTATTTGTTAATACAGTGGAACCTAAAGCATAGGTATCTTTGGATATATCAGGGATTCTTTCTAAGCAGGGTCCTGGCTGCCTTGCTCTAAAATCTTGGAACTGTTTTATCATATGTAATAATAATTAAACCTTTACTGAGCTCTTACTATATGCTAACACTGGGCCAAGTCCTTTATGTCTACTATATCATCTAATCCTCATGAAAAACTCCTAAGGGAGGCTTTTATTATCCCATTTTACAGATGAAAAAAAACTGAAGCACAGTTTCCCGGGTCATATAGCTGTTAAGTGGCAGAACTGGGATTTGGACTTAGGCAGTCTGACACCAAAGATCAGATGCGTAACTTACATATTCTTCCTTTTCTTTCAGGTTATTGTTTTCAAAGACATAAAGTTAACTCTCAGGGTATACATCCAAAAAGATTCTATTCCCCAAATACTAGATGGTATATTCTATCCCTCCACCTTCTTTGACACACTTCCTTTGCTTCCCATTTGATCCAACAGTAAAATAACCATGAAATCACTATGCACAGTATAAAATCCCAGAATTCATCCTAATAGGCCAGCTGACAGCCCTTCAATGAAGTACAGCTGAATTCCTCAAGTAAAGTTATCAAATAAGGAAGAAGTTCCTTCAGCCAGTTCTCACCTCATCCATGGATCCCTGTCCTTTGCACGCAAGCCAGGTAAAGACCAAACCAAAGAACACACCCAGTGCCATGATGATGTAGGGTATGTTGGTGATAATCAAAGTAGTGTTGATCACAGACTTCAGTCGACTCGCAGTCTCTTTATCAATGAGAACACTCTGGAGAGGCAAGAAAATAGTATTTCCTTGATACTATTTAAACATCCAGTGTGTAACCTTTTTTGCTGTATCTTTCCTTAAAATCATTTAATACAAATTGGGAACGTCCTCCTGTTAGCAAGCCAAATATACTGAAAATCCATTTATAAGTCAGATTAATCAGAAGGGGCATTTGTTCATTAATATCTTGTCTCTGAAGACATTTTTTTACTCTTAAAATAGATTGGAAAAAGGAGGTAAAATGTGTTCAGAAATATTGAGACAGTATCATCTTTTGTTTTATATCAGGTAATACCAATTCATCCTTAAAAATCCAGCTCAGTATCACTTCCTTCCAAAAGTTTTTGCTGGCCACCTCAGACCTAGTCAAAGGCCTCTTCCCTGAGTTTCCATCTCACTCTACCTTCATCATTGTCCTTACTCATTGTCCTTGCACTCTACATTTTAACTCTGTTTGTCTCACAATGACTGTGAGGTCCCTAAAGGCAAGACCTAACCTCAGTCACCTCCACACTGGGTATAGAACCCAGCACACAGTAGGTGTTTGATTAATCCTGGCTGATTAAATGAATAAATAAATGAAACACTGCAAAAATGGTATATGGAAAATATAATTTCTTTCTTGGTTACATACATAGTAATCAGGACCACAGCCCTCTATAGAAAGTGCTCAGTGAAGTTGTGGGCTAACCAGAATTCCAGAGACTGTTGATAAGTAGAAAATGTGCTAGAATAACACTTAGTGTATGCAGAGCAGAGGAATTACCACCTAGTGCAATGAGCGTGGTATCTGAAGAGCTCAATTCCATAGAAATTATGAGCAACAATTCTGGCCTAGTTTAGGCTTACTTTGCATTGGAGGCCTGGCATGGTTGCACACGCCTGGAATCCCAGCACTTTGGGAGGACAAGACAGGTGGATTGCTTGAGCTCAAGAGTTTGAGACCAGCCTGAGCAATGTGGTGAAAACACCTCTCTACAAAAAAGACAAAAATTAATGGGCTGGACATGGTCGCTCATACCTGTAATCCCAGCACTTTGGGAGGCCGAGGCGGGCAGATCACCTGAGGTTGGGAGTTCGAGACCAGCCAGGTCAACATGGTGAAACCCCATCTCGCTAAAAATACAAAAATCAGCCAGGTATGGTGGCAGGCGCCTGTAGTCCCAGCTACTGGAGAGGCTGAGGCATGAGAATCACTTGAACCTGGGAGGCAGATGTTGCTGTGTGCCAAGATTGGGCCACTGCACTCGAGCCTGGGTGACAGAGCAAGATTCCATCTCAGAAAAAAAAATTAGCCAGGCATGGTAGCACACAGCTATCATTCCAGCTACTTGGAAGGCAGAGGTGGGAGGACCACCTGAGCCCAGGAAGTTGAGGCTGCAGTGAGCCGAAATTGTACCACTATAAAGGGTGACAGAGTGAGACCCTGTATCAAAAAATAAAAAAATAAAAAGAAAGGATTTTTTTTTCACTGAACTGAGTCAATGGGCTGGGTTCTACGACAGTTTTTTTCAATAGAGCACCATTTCTGTGTAGGCCTGATAAACAAGGGGACCATTACCACATGTGACAAGCAGAGTAGAACCAAGTAAAAGTGATCCCCAGAACAGTATGAGAACCATTGGTTGTATTAGGTGGCTGGTAGACCAATGTGTCTCAGACATGAATATGGATGTGGGTCCTTGGGCATCCTGTTAAAATGCAGGCTCTGATTCAGTAGACTGGTTATTTCTGGTAATTGGCTAAGGCTCCCAGGGTTCCCACCTCGGTAAAAAGGTGGTGCGGCAATAGTCTCCAAGGTCACTTTCAGGTCTAATCTTTTATTTTTCTAGAGAAGAGAATAATCAAGCTCTTCCTAGGAGGCAGCAAAAATACAAGGTTCCACTCCACACACCTGGACTTTTAGTCTTTCACAAAAAAGCAAGGCAAAAGTTGGGAGTGGAGGGACTTCAAATATGCCACTACTGAACAGAAGTTGGCAGGAAAGGGCCCTTCTGCATTTTCAAAAAGATCTACCTTCGTACCCCTGCCCGCAAACAGGAACAGGGATGATCCAGGAGCAATTGCAAAGCGGTCCTATAAATTGATAAACACTGCCTGAATTTTTCCTATAAAACAATAAAAACCTCATCTTAGAACTGTAATCACGAACCTTTAAAAGTTTGTAAATGTGAATACCAATATAATGCTAAATAAAATTGTATCTATAGTATGATTTCAACTATGCGATATCAAGACCAGAAAAATATCAGGAGTTGACATCTGAAGATCACATCTGAAGATGTCAACTGCACCTGCCTCTGAGAAAGAGGGACTCATCAATAATTTACTTTATAAATCAATTTTTTAAAAAAATTTTTAAGAGTTCTATAAAGAGCACATGTTTTATAAAATGTAAAACATTAGATTACCTTTTAAAGTTGTTATTGGAAGACTGTACAACACATTGAGTAAAATAAAATAAATTAAAAACAGTATTATCAGGCTGACACAGATTTTGTGAATAGTGATTTTAGTTTTTCTTTTTCTTGTTAGTCTCTGTTATTCAATATTCTACAAATAGCAAGTATTTTTAGGAAACAGAAAAATATTAAAAACTAGAAGTCTGCCAATCAAGAATTTATTGAAGAAAAAAACCTGCATTTTTTTTTTCCTCAACCGGGTGGAAGCAGGAGAAACTGAGGAGATATAACTACAGTAAACGTGATATGTGATTCAGAAAAGAATTCATCACAGGTGTGTTAAGCCAGCATGGCTGCAAAGAAGGAGGAGACAAAGGTCTAGCAGGCATCTATCTGAGTGTGAACTCTTATGCTTCAACATGTCTGCCAATGGCTCATTTACCTCTGTTTTTGTTTCTTACATGAGCAACTACCCAGAAGGGAGTTTTGCCCAAATAGTGTTCTTGAGAAGGAGAATTTCTTTCATCATTTCTCCAAATCAACTCTCAGACACAGGCAGATTCATGTGAACATTTAAGTGAAATTTTCTGAGGAATAACAGGTTTTAAAAATCTTTTGCCCTTCTGTCATATCTTAACTTATGCATAACTACAACAGTAGACATCATAACGGATGTTTTCTGAGTCTGAAAACACCCATGGCTCCCTCCATCTCAGGACTTACCTCATTGAGGTACATCACCGGGAAAACCATGGTTCTAATGTCTCCCGTTTCACTACAAAGACAAAGGATGAGATTTCAGAGACATCCTCATCACGATGGTACACTTTCCTGGACACATGTGTCAATATGAAGATTCCAGTATATTTATTTCTTAAATTACCCAGAATTTACTGATTTCTTACAGAGTGTTCTGTAACTAGGCCACTGAAGTACTGTCTTTGCAACAACAGCCAACTGAGCACACACCATGTGCAAGCTCTGTGCTGGGTGTTTTAGGGATATTGTCTCACTCAATTCCTACAGTAGTCAGGTTTACAGACAAGAAAATTATGACTCAGAAAGGCTACATAATTTGCCTAAGATCACCACAGGTAAGTGGTGGAGCCAGAAATGTAATTCTACTTGGATTCTAAGGTTCCAGCTCTTAACTACTAAATTATACTGCCTAAGAAATACATATACAGATGACAAAATGCATTTTGGTAAACCACATCTACTTCTTAGAAAGTGCCATGACACCTGGTATTAAATCTGGCAAATTCAGTGGGGGAGACAAGCCAAGTTTGATAGAGAAATAGATAAATATATTATGCATAGTTTTGCATCCTGTTTATTTCATTCAACATTATCATAATTTTCTCATATCTAAAAAATTTTCATTGAAAAGTCTGAGCAGGAGATTATACTTTGGAATCCAAATTAAGTTGCATGGGGAGGTGAGGCTAGACTCAAGAGGCTTTAACTATACAAATGAGAGCTATGGCTGGCCCCAAGTGGGAGCAGCAGGAAGAGAGAGAGAGGAAGAGGAAGAGGAAGAGACTGTCTCAAGTCTCTGAGTGATATAGTTTGGATACTCATTCCCCAAATCTCAGGGTGAAATGCAATCCCCAGTGTTGCAGGTGGGGCTTGGTGGGCAGTGATTTGATCATGGGGGTCGATTTCTCATGAATGGTTTAGCACCATTCCCTTGATGCTGTCCTGTGATAGTGCGTTCTCATGAGATCTGGTATTTTAAAGTGTGTGGAACCTCCTCTCTTTTCTCTCTTGCTCCTGCTCACCCCATGTGATGTGCCTGCTCCTGCTTCACCTTTTGTCAAGAGTAAAAACTCCCTGAGGCAACCCTAGAAACTGAGCAGATGCCAGCACCATGCTTCCTGTACAGCCTACAGAACTGTGAGACAGTTTAATCTCTTTATAAATTAACTAGTCTCAGATATTTCTTTATAGCAATACAAGAACAGCCTAATACACCAAGATAGTTAAGGTGAGTGAGGGAAAGGCTTAGTGGAGTGAATAAAAGTTGACTAGATAGTAAGGCTGTGTGGTCTCTAGCAAGTTACCTAAATGCTCTGCTTCTGTTTCCTCATCTGTAAAATGCAGATAATACAAGGTTATACGTGAATCTATATAAGGTGCTGAGAACAATACCTGATCCATGGGAAGCACTCTCTAAGTGTGTGATTAAATAAAACAAGTAAATTCCAAGACCAAGGCACCCAGGACAATGCTGATCATGCCCCATCCCTGAAGGGCAGGGGCGAGCAGACTCAGATGAAGTAGGCTGTACTACTCCTGACATCAACCCAATCAGAAGGGCAATGGAGAAAAACTGCTGTTCCTTCACAGAAAGAAGCAGAACTTACATAAAGTCATCTGATTTTTTGACATAAATGTTGATTTGGAACCTCTTGGCTGCTTTTAGGATTATTCCAGTCAACTGCAAAGCAGAGAAGTGAAAAGAAAACATTAGGATTTCTTAAACTGCAAACAATTTTTTCAATAGAGCACCATTTCTGTGTAGGCCTGATAAACAAGGCGATCATTACCATATGTGACAAACAGAGCAGAACCAAGTAAAAGTGATCCCCAGAACAGTATGAGAACCATTGGCTGTATTAGGTGGCTGGTAGACCAATGTGTCTCAGACATGAATATGGATGTGGGTCCTTGGGCATCCTGTTAAAATGCAGGCTCTGATTCTGTAGACTGGTTATTTCTAACAAGCTCCAAGGATACTGCCGCTCTGAATAGCACAGCCCTAGAAGGACTCCAACAGGAAGGAGACCCAAAAGATAGCCTGTCAGGTTTGGATTTCCAGGCAGTTGTCCATTTGAGCTAAGAAGAGGGTGGTGGTCACTGCCAGAAAGTGGCATCCAAGTATAGGGCCCACCTAGCACCGCCGTGGGGCACAGCTGCAGCATTTGTCTTCCTTATGGCAGCTCCATCTCTGCACTAAGGTTATGAGACTGCACTCATCCCTTGGTGACAAGCACTGCTAACAGTCTGGCTGATCCAAGGGGACTGATCAATTGATGGTTAAGAGAGAAATGGGAGAAAACCACACACGATCTTACTCACCAGAGCATGAGATCACTGGTTCCTCAGATATAAATGCAATGTATGTAGCAAAGAGTGTAAAGTGCCCATAAAATACTGTGCTAAAAGAATGTTCTTGTTTTTTCTTACTAGTCCATAATGTTCAAATTCCAAAAATGAAGATACGGTTAGCATGGTTTTTGTTTTTCTCCTTTATGAATACAGGATTAAATGTGTATTTTATATATATACACACATATATGTATGTATTTCTCCTCTATGTATATCTTGATACCTTTACAATTAGTAATATAATAAACTCTCAAATAACTTGTAGAAAGAAGTTTGCCAAAAGTGACTGAGGTTAATATATGTATTCATATTTCAACCAAAATATTCCTGGCAGTGAGGAAGCAAAGGGACATCTTTAACCTTACTGATCTGTGTCCCAAAGGGAGAAATAAATATATGTTGAGGTCCAAGGCTAGCAACAGAAAATTGACCGGGTTACATGGGTCCAATCTCAGTAGTTTCCGGTAACTGAGTTTTCACTGTTGCTTTTTGTTAAAGGCAGCTTTGCTCGTATTTCTGCTATTTCATCCACAGAATTCAGCCTTCTAATTACAGGGCTATGGAAGCACATGAAAGTAAGGACGTTTTTAAAGAGTGCTCAGGACTACACTGGCGAACACTGTGTAGACAGAATAAAACATATGCTCTTTCACGAGGAGGAAGTATGTACTCACAGGATTGATATCCACAAATGTCTCATGGTCTTCCTTATTTGGGTGCATGCCTTCTATGGCAGAAACAAACCTCTCATCTGCTTGGTAAAAGTGTGGGAAAGACATAATGATGGGTGCACCTGCATTTGAAGGAAAATAGAAATGAATGATGCTGTTCTTAAAATCTAAGATGCATATAAAAGTTCCTGGCCACAGCCTGGATCCTAAAGTAAAACAAAAAAGCTACATATAAGTTAACTTGGGAAGGCTAAAACATCATTCTGTACCTCCTGCTTCAGGATTTATACTTCATTTTCTGACATCTCATTTACCCCAATATTTTTTATTCCACATTATATAAAGCTAAATTATTTATTCTTCAACAAACATTTACTAAACTTAAAGAATAAGTGCTCCATATACATTACTTTAATTAATGCTCCCAACAGCCCAAGGAAGTTAGAACAATTAGCCTCTCTTTGCATTTGAAGAAAATGAGGTTCACAGAAGTTACAATATTTACCCAGGGACAGCTAGCCATCAGGTTATGAAGGCAGAATACTAAGTGACTGAGAAGTATTGCACCTCAAAGCATTAGTTTCAACTACAATTCTCTATCAGTGAGTGGACTGGTTTTTTGTCTTTTTTTTTTTAATTAAAAAACAAATTGTCATGGTTTTATTTTGTTTTTTTACCAAAGATAGGCACGATCTCGGCTCACTGCAACCTCTGCCTCCCAGGTTCAAGTGATTCTCCTGCCTCAGCCTCCCAAGTAGCTGGAACTACTGACACAAGCCACCATACCCGGGTCATTTTTTTGTATCTTTAGTAGAGACAGGGTTTCACCATTTTGGTCAGGCTGGTCTTGAACTCCTGACCTCAAGTGATCCGCCTGCCTTCACTTCCCAAAGTGCTGAGATTACAGGCTTGAGCCACCACGCCTGGCCATATATAATTTTTTTTTTTAATTTTTTTTAAAGGGAAGGGAGGCCGGCCCACTGGCCGGCCGGGTAAGAGGGGCAGTCCATATATAAATTTTTTAAGAGTCAGCCTGGTTGTGCTATACACCCTGCCTCTAACCAGATCACAAAGATTCTGGGTTTTTTTCCTTTCTTGTTCATTTTAAGAGCCAAATAAGTGCTCGTGTAAATTTAATGTGTTTTATATATATAGGACCAAATAGGGAAACAAGGCACCAAGGGAAACCTCTTCTAGATCTGCCTATTGAAAAGAAGAGAGGGACTCAATAATTGCTGCCAGATTTATATTTTTGGAGAAAGGAGCTTATTGGCAAGTTATTTAAATTTGCTTACGCATCCACCAGTCCATGGCTCAAGGAACACATCACACATCTCTGACATGCACATGCATTTTGCTGTTTACTGCTTAATAGTTCCACAAAGCCATGACTTCCTTCTTGTGACCTATAATGACCTTGAAAATGTATGTTTTAAATCTCTTGAGGGCTTAATAAGGGCTGCTGTCTTGAGTGTTTTACACACTTTATCTCTAACTCTCACACAACCTCAAGAAGTTATAACCACCTCTATTTTATTAAGAAGTCTGGAACACTCCTTAATAAACTTTGGCCAATTTGCTAACAAATAGAATAGGACTCAAACCCAGATCTACCTCACTCCAGAACAGTCACTCATCCCACTATCCAAAATGTTTCACTGGAGAATTCAAAACACTGGAGGTTAATCCTGGAGGGTTTCACTTCAGTCCAAATTTGGCAATACATAAGAGGGAAGCAGAAAAGGATTGTTGCAAGAAGTTTAAATGCGCAAAGTAGAATATTTCTGTTGATTCTGGCATCAGCTTCTTAGGGAAACAGAATTTAATAAAAACTGCAAGAAAAGGTCAGGTGCAGTGGCTCATGCTTGTAATCTCAGCACTTTGGGAGGCCGAGGCAGGCGGATCACCTGAGATCGGGAGTTCGAGACCAGCCTGACCAACATGGAGAAAAATACAAAAATTAGCCAGGCATGGTGGCACATGCCTCTAATCCCAGCTACTCAGGAGGCTGAGGCAGGAGAATTGTTTGAACCCAGGAGGCATAGGTTGCGGTGAGCCGAGATTGCACCAAGCCAAGATCGTGCCATTGCACTCCAGCCTGGGCAACAAGAGTGAAACTCCATCTCAAGAAAAAAAAAGAAAAAATATATCTACATTTTCTTGTAGAGACAGGTTCTTGCTATGTTGCCCAGGCTGATCTTGAACCCCTGGCCTCAACTAATCTTCCCACCTTAGCCTCTCAAAGTGCTAAGAATACAGGCATGAGCCACCATGCCCAGCCTTAGCATTGTTTTGAGCATGACATCAGTTAATGTTTTGCATGCATTAACTACATGTAAATATGTAAAGCACTTAGGACAGTGACTGGCATACATCAGGTGCTTAGTAAACATAAGCTATGATTACTATAAAGACTTCTAAACCATTGCCCAGAAAAAAGCACAACACGGCATTCTAGAAATAAAAAGCATCACAGAAAAGCCAATAATTTTTTTTACCATTCAATAGCCACATTATGAAACATCTATTGGGCTGACAACATATTCTTTTTTGTTTGTTTTGTTTTTTAGAGACAGGGGTCTCACTATGTTGCTCAGGCTGGACGTGAGAACTCCTGGGCTCAAATGGTCATCCCACCTCAGCATCCTTAGTAGCTGGGACTATAGGTGTGCGTCACTGTGTCCAGCTACATATTCTTTGTTGGACTCCAATCCTTCTGCATTCTTGACACCCATATCAGTCCCCTCTGAGTTCTTACCATTCTTGCAGATGCTGACATTCAGAACTCCTGAGCCCAGGCAGTTTCCCTCAGGTATACAGAAGCCGGCATTGTCTGAGGTATTGGCTAATATTTCTGCAGGAACTCTATACCGAAAGGCAGGCAGTCCCTGTACACTCTCATAGTCACTGAAAGTAATATACACTGACCTGTTCGGAAGTAAGAATAAAAAGTGAATGTGGACTCCAGTCAGTGTAACTTGCAGATCTGCCCCAGATCTGCAAGTTAGCAACAGTTCTCAGGTACAAATGGCCAGAAGCTCATACATCAAGTAGAAAAGAATGGAAGGCACTCTGTCAACTCAATGTGTAATAAAGCAGAAGATGAATTGTGGTGAAAGGTGTTTAAGAGGTAGCCATGGTGGTGATATCCAAACAAGAAAAAACAATATGTGGTAGAAAACTAAGATGATAACATTTAGAATGGAGACTCACATAAACAAGAAAGAAGAGGCCTCTAGATTGGCATGGACACATGCCAGTGTGGACAGGCCACCGGCAAAGCCAGGGAAGCCAGAGCACGGCAGGGCCAAAGCTAAGGCAGAACAGGCAGCAACGGCCGTGGCCTGGTAGGGTCTTAGGCACTTGAAAAGTGTCACACTGGACAGTTATTTTATTAGAATACACACTTTGATACTCATTTCCCACCCCCCAAAATTAGTTTCCACATTTTGCCCAGTCATTTATTTCAATGGAATTCAACGTAATTCAGCCTTTCATGCTTATTGGTTTCAAACGTGTTCACATGTAACATGACCACCGCTTACACTGCACAGTGCCTGACTGACAGAGCACTTTGATGTACACAGTCAACAATGATTCTTCAGCCCTTCCTTTGAAGGCTGGCAGGAATAGTTTTTGGGCCTAACTTTTTCATCTCTAAACCAGAGGTGTTGATACATTTCTTGCAGGCTTGTGAATAATATAGGTGGTTTCACTGCATGAACCACCCCTACAGCATTTTGTAATGAAATATTTTAGACACCAGAAAGAGAAAAAATACTATAACAAATACCTTTGTATCTGCCACTTAGACAAATAAAAAATATATTATGGATATAACTGAACCTGTCTACATAACGCTCTTGATTCCATTCCTTCTCTGCCTTCCCTGGGGAAACCACTCTCCTGAAATATGGACAATTGTATCTTTTATTTGACTTCTATGTAGAGACTACCTATTGACAGGAAGAAGCCCAGGTTAATTCATGCTTGACAGAGCATATCATAGTAACTAAGAGCCAACACTTAATACTGGTTACTGTGTGACAGGCCCTGGGCTAAGTATTTTACTAATAGTAACTCATTTGTCTTCAAAACAATGTCTAAAATAGTTAACGATTTCTAACTTTGTCTTACAAGTGAGGAAAGTGAGGTACAGAGTGGTTAAATAATTTTCCCAAGGTCACACAGCTGTAAGTGGTAGAGTCAAGATTCAAACCAACAGTCAGGAGTCTGTACTGTGAACCCGTACACTATACTGCCTCGATGTGCCATCAGCATTTATCACTGATTAAGCATAAACATCCATGCAAAATAAGTTTGTCTGCACATATTCTTCACGCTTTTGGTGGTCTTGCAGTGCAAGACCTTATTTCTTAAAAACTACTTATCTTTAAAGCTTTTACCTGCAAAAATCAGATGGGAAGACATAAAGGACCTCATCTTTGGTTATTAGTGGGTGAAAAGAATCTCCATCTGTTCCGTTAATCATATTGCACTTGTCTGTTACCCACCAGTCAAGCGACCTATAATTGATAAGCACAAGAAAGAGTAAAGATGATCACGTTTGAGTTTAGATTTTCTTAAATGGTCAGGACTTTGCAAGATTTAACTGGAGCTGTCTACTCACAGTATCTTATCTATACACAGACACAACAGTGTTAATTAGATCGAGGGGGAGAAAAAGTAGGTCCCTGACCCCAAATCAATTTTCATAGAGGCAATGGCCAAATATCTCAAAACATGTGGTGGTTTGAAAAGTATTTGTGCTGTAGCTATTACACATCACTCAATGACTACTACGCAAGAGTAGGACTTTTCACTGGCCTGTAATTCATGCCTGGCCATGATAAATCTACAAATCACTAAATATTTAATTTGTAAAATATTTTACCACCATCTTGATTTATAGAATAATAATTACAAGACTATTTACATATTTTTACATTTTTCATCCAAGAAAGGCTAAACACATTTTTTAAACAATGTAGCAGTAGATATATAGTTTAAATGAAAACTGAAAAAATAATTCCACTGATAAATCATTAGACTTACGTTTTCCCATTCCATTCCACAATTTTTGTAAAGTTAAGGTAATTGTCTTCTCCAGTTAGAAAAACATAGTCTCCATCATTAGTACCATTTTTCTGAAAATAATTTAATATAATCATTTAAAGTAACTGTGATAATTTTATGACAACTTGGCTAGGCTATGGTACCCAGCTGCTTGGTGAAACACTAGCCCAGATGTTGTGGTGAAGGTATTTTGCAGATGTGATTAATATTTACAGTCAGTTAACTTTAAGGGAGATTACCCTCAACAATGAGTGGTTGGGCCCCATCCAATCTGTTCAAAGCCTTATGAGCAGAAACAGAGGTTTCCTAGAGAAGGAATTCTCAAGACTGCAACATCGAAATTCTGCCTAAATTTCCAGTTTACAGCCCATCCTACAGATTTCAAACTTAAGACCACATCATCAACTTTTACCTGAGTTTCCAGCTCCTGGCCTGCCCTATGGATTTCAGACTTACCAGCTTTCACAATCACATAAGCCAATTCCATAATATATATTTCTTTCTCTCCCTCTTTCTGATCTCTATTGATACACATCCTGTTGATTCTGTTTCTCTGGCAACCCTAACTGATACAGTATCTAACAAATTTAATGTTCATCAAACTGTCCTACTAGGGCCGAACTGCTACACAAGACTGAACCAGGGCTAGAAAATAGTGACTATTTTGCTAAATACTATATAAACTATATTATTATTTTCTGGCTTTAAATAGTAGGAGCTCAATTTTTAAATGGGCAAAGGATTTGAAGAGACATTTCCCAAAAGAAAACACACTAATGGCCAGAAATCACATAAAAACATGTTCAACATCATTAGTTATTAGGGAAATGCAAATCAAAACCACGATGAGATACCACTTCATACCCACTAGCTTGGCAATTTAATAAAAAGAAAAATAGTAAGTGTCGGTGAGGATGTGGAGAAATTAGAACCTTTATACATTGCCAGTAGGAATATAAAAATGTTGCAGTCACTGCGGAAAACAGTTTGTCAGTTCCTAAAAAGGTGACACAGAATTCACAGGACTCCAAAATTTCACACCTATGTGTATTTTCAAGACAATTCCACTTCAAGGTATATCCCAATGTTCATACAAAAACCTGTATGAATAAACATTCATAACAACACTTCTAATAATAGCCAAGAGGGAACACAACCCAAATGTCCATCAACTGATAAACAGATAAGCAAAATGTGGTATATCTATACAATGCAATATTCCTCCATTATAAAAAGGAATGGAACACTGATGCATGCTACAACATGGATGAACCCCAACAACATTACACTAAATTTAAAAGCCAGATACAGAAGGGCACATATCATATGATTCCATTTATATGAGATGTCCAGAATATGCAAATTCACAGAGCCAGAAAGTAGATTAATGGTTCCCAGGGCCTGGGAGAGTAAGACAGGGAGAGGAATGACTGCTAAGAGGTATGCAGTTTCTTTTCAGGATAATGAAAATGTTCTGGGATTAGTAGTAATAGTTGCACAACCTTGTGACTATACTAAAGACTACTGAATTGTACATTTAAAAATGGTAAATTTTATAGTAAGTGAATTACTTCTAAATACATTTAAAAGCCCAAAGTCCAGGACCAGGACCAATTATACCAGAACAGCTACACTGAAAGAAGGTGGTAGTAATATAGTCCTATTTTCAATTAAGTTTTCTTCAGTTGTGTATTCTCTCCAAGTTAAACTTCTTAAGGGCACATACAGACACTGTACATTCCTAAAATTCTTTATTTGGACAAGTAGCTATGATTTCTCAGAAATAGCACAGGTAGTAGTTCCTCTATAACAATAGGAGTGAACAATTGTTGAGTATAATATTCCTGGCTCTGGTCTAAAATTTTTGCATGAATCATCTCGTGAAATCCTCACAACCACATCAGATACTGTGGATATCAGACTAGTGAATTCGATGATGTAAAAACAAAAAAACAAGTTACATAATGCAAATTATCTGAGAAATAGTGAGATATTAGCAACAAGATCTACTTGGCTGATGGACTGAAGTCCCTGGGACCAAAAGGGCCTAGAGTGAACCTTTGCATAATATCTCTCAGTAGGAGGCTCTCCTGAAATCATTTCTAGAAGCGACGTTTAGTCAGGGCTTGACAGGAAATCTGTGCTTCCTCTGGTCCTGTGAAGCTGTGTTCCCCTGAGACAGGGACCCTCTACGGAACTCCTATGTGGACCACTTCTCCAGAGTGATGCATTCAGAGTTGGTGAGACCCTACTTTTAGGACTCCTGTCTCTCAAGCAAATAATTTTTTAAAACTTGCTTACAATTTTGTTTTAACAATTTCCAAGTTTTGTATAACCTTGAAGGCCCAGGGACACAATTATTGCTGTTTGCCATAAAAAACAAAATGCTACAGGACCACATGAAGAGGGTAAGACTCCTGAACAAGCAGAGCCAGAAAACAGCTAGAAATGTAAAGCTGAGAAGACTCATCACAACCCCAGAGCACACCCCTAATCTAATACTCTTCCTGGGGTTATTTTGTCTTTTACCAATTTCCCAACTATCCATTGCACTCAAGGTTTTTGTTTTGTTTTGTTTTTGTTTGTTTTTCACGTGGAGTCCAGCTCTGCAGTGCAGAGTGTGATCTCTGCAACCTCTGCCTCCCAGTTTCAAGCAACTCTTCTGCCTCAGTCTCCTGAGTAGCTGAGGTTACAGGTGTGCACCACCACACCTGGCTAATTTTTCTATTTTTAGTAGAGACAAGGTTTTGCCATGTTGGCCAGGCTGGTCTCAAAGTCCTGACCTCAAGTGATCCACCCACCTCAGCCTCCCAAAGTGCTGGGATTACAGGTGTGAGCCACTGCACCCAGCCTCAAGTTTTTTTAATTTCCAAAAACACTCCATTTTTTTTTTTTTTAACATACTCTACAAGGTACCTTAACTCTAGGCAATTTCTAAAAGAAACTTAAACTTAATCTGGCTTGGGGTGCCCCAACCCACTGTCAGCTGAAAAAAGAGGTTATGAAAAGGAAAATTGACTTACCTCATAGAACAGGCCAAAATAGGGAGAGACGTCGGGCCTGAAAACATGGATAAGGGACAAGATCTCATCTTTGTAGCCCCAGAGCAATTCGTCAACTGTGTGAGTCACAAACAGCTTCTGCTGATAGGCTTTCAACATGGCCTCGATGATCTCCCTGAGGAAGTGGACCTGGGACCACTCTATGACGGTCTGTGGAGCAGAAATAAATTAAGACAGGAGCATCCCCTCCAAAGCACCCCACCCACTCTCTCCTACTACCCCTCAGCAAAGGGGGTTGGAAATGTACATGTAAAGGTTGAGATTAAATAGCTGAAAACTTAGCCAGTGAGCTCCTTTCTGGCTGCATATGCAAGACAAAGCCTCTTCTTTGTCGTTTTTCGGTACCACATTTTGTTAAGTATAGTACTTACAGAGACCGTACAGACACCACAAAAGGGAAAAGCTCTTGTCAACATGTCAGCATCTTCGGCCACAAGGTGGTGCTACCTTCCTCCTGAGCAGGGCCAAAGGCTCGTTATAAACCCTACCTACACCCCTGGGACTAGGCGGCAGGGACCTAATACTCTCTAGGTCCTGGGTCCATCATCAGTGTCCAGCTGATGAGCGGTCACCTGGGAGTTAGGGTGGGAGAGTCGGAAGGGGTTGGTGTAGGTGAATCAAAATGTTTACTGGGCCACGCACAGTGGTTCACGCCTGGAGTGACTGGACGACACGAGAGGATCACTTGAGCCCAGGAGGTAGAAGCTGCAGTAAGCTGTGATCGCGCCACTGCACTCCAACCTGGGTGACAGAGCAAGACCCTGTCTCAAATTAATAACAAAAGAATTAAATTTAAAAAAATAGTCTCATGGGTATCAGTATAGAATTGATGTAGAATAGGTGTATTATTAGGTAGAATTACCATTATAAACAGAGCCCATTGAAATCACAGTAGGCTGTAACCAACAGCCCAGTCTATTGATTTCTGGTGTCAATTTATGTATTTTGAGAATATAAAATCCAACATAAAAATCTGAAGTAAGAAATGGTATACAAGTTTCATTGCTCAAATTTCTGAAAACATTCAAAAAAAATTTTTTTAATTATTAGCTACCAAAAAATCCTAGGGGCATATTTATTTGCACAATTGCTAATCCTGAACACACAGGAAGAAACTGTGAAAACAAATCCTAAAATCTGAATTCTGTCATCATTTGAAAAGATCTTATTTGATAGATGTTAGAATAAAGGCTAAGATGTACTTTAAAGAAGAAAAAAATTTATTTTTCTTTTTGTGTGTGTATATTTCAACATAACTTAAGGCTCCTAAATGTAAAATCATAAAGAGCATTAACTTAGCTTTTTCCTTTCTTCCAAGATCCAAATTAATGATATTAAAATGCCAACTTACCAATACAGGAATATTTAACGTTCTAATTAAGTCAACTTTAGGGTCTCCAACAGATTGGTCTCGTTCAAAAACATAGGCCTTGTTGCTAACAGCAGATATTGTTGTTCCATTATCTCCAAACTGAATATTTGCTTTGTTTCTGAGTTCCCTAAAAGAAAGAAAAGGGTTTTATTTAAAAACAGGCACCACTTTAATAAGCAAGACTTTTCCTTTCTTTCAGCATCAATGTTGTATTTTCAGTGTAACATTCCCAATATAACATTATATAGAGACTGCAGCTACTAAGCTTTAAAAAGCTGGAGATTGAAGCTATAATGTGAGAAGGGAACGAGGCCTAGGATAGAGTCTTCTCAAAAAAACTTGGTTTTCATTCTTTTCCTCCATGATTAGGGAGGTACAACAGTCGAGGGGCACCTTGAACAGGGAATCAAAGCCAATGAACTCTCTCCTGGGTTATGGTTTGGTCCTAAAGTATTTTCAAAATGTTCAGCTCATAGATTTGGTTTGAATTTCAATTTGTTTACCAATCTTTTTGTTTCTAAATTGAATTACATTGAAATCTCATTTTCACAAATGATGGCCAACGCTTAGTAAATTACAGGAGTTCACTCCAGTTTCTTTTTTTGAGACAGGGTCTCGCTCTGCTGCCCAGGGTGGAGTGCGGTGGCATGATTACAGCTCACTGCAGCCTCAACCTCCTGGGCTCAAACAATCCTCCCAACTCAGCCTCCCACATAGAACTACAGGAGCATGCCACCACACCCAGCTAACTATTTTATTTTTTTGTAGAGATGAGGTCTCACTATGTTGCCCAGGCTGGTCTTGAATTCCTGGACTCAAGTGATCCTCCTGCTTTGGCCTCCCCAAATGCTAGGATTACAGGCATCAGCCACCATGCCTGGTCTCTGTTTCTGATATACAGCATAGTTAGGTTCACGTTAGTGCCACCAAATGAGGCATTAGAAAGTTCTTAGGAAGTGCCTGGTGCCAGGGCTGGGCCTATAGTCAGTGTGAGTGATTAAGATGTGCTGAAACAAGTAGTAATCAAGATTTTTTAATGCGCTATTTCTTAAAACCAAGATTTATGCCAAAAGTTTATGATGAACAAAATTGTAAATAAAAACAAGATCTGATCTTTTGTTCATCAAATGCTTCACACTGGCCCCAGCCCTGCCTGGTACACAGTAGATGTTCAATAAATTCCACTGTCTGTTTTTTCCTTCCCTTTGCTTACCTGTGCTTCTTCCTAAACCAGCTAGGGTTATTATGTCTGACATGGTAGCCACCATGTCACCATGTGACTAGTAAGCACTTGAACTGTGGCTAACTGGAATTGAGATTTGTTGTAAATGTCAAATACATACAGAATTTCAAAAACTGCCAAGAAAACAAAAAGAATGGCAAATATCTTTTAACATTTTTTAATATTGATTACATATTGAAATGATGCTATTTTAGATATAATGGGCAAAATTAAAACATATTAACATTAATTTTACCTGTTTCCTTCTACTTTTTAAAAAATGTGGCTACTAGAAAATCTGAAATTGCATATGTGGTTCACATAGTATTCCTATTGGACAGAGCTAATTTAAGAGCACAGGTTAGGAAGGCACTGGCCAGCTGGGCTACACACACCTCCCCTGAGGCATTTTTCCCAACCGAGGCAGCACAGGGGGATTTTTCTCACCCACCTGTGGATGTCTGTACATGTCTTTAGCATTCAATTATAAACTTCTAAGTGACATCATTTAGATTGTGAAAGAATTATTAGGTAGCCTCAGGTAGACTGTAAGCAAGCTGAAGGCTGAAACTTGTACATAAAAATGCTCCTCAGTGATGATGGAGTTATGTCCCAATAAACCCATCATTAGTTGAAAAGATGGTAGGTTGAAAGTTTGTTTTTGATTCAATGGGATATTATCTGGATGTAACTCTATTGTCATTGGAGGAGCATACCAAATACGTATCATTTTCACACCATCATGAAGTCAAAAAATCATTTAAGTTGAACCACCATAAGTCAAGGACTGTCTGTATATTAATATCTCTTTATACCTCTTAAATCCCTTCTAGATTTTAAAATAAAAATAGATGAGAAAATAAACAAAGGCATTCATATAGATGCATAAAAGTAGATGAGTCTTTGTATATTTTCCAGTGGAAAAACCATGTTTTTCTCTACTCTCATACTGTAACAATTTACTGTGACTTCTGGTCACCAAGAAGTGTGTGGCGTTTTCTCTCCAGCAATAATAATTCTGCAGTGTCCTCCAACTCAATTCAATTCTGATACTTTCTACTTGGAGACAGCATCAGATTCCACAGGTTGAGACTGCCTTCCACTTCCTATGCCAATCAAAAGCCCCAGGCTGTTTAACCTGTGCTAATGGCTATACATTGGGGTTCCCACACCCCACTGCCCCACCCCATTCCCTGCTTGGGCTCAATTAATTTGCTAGAGCAGCTTAGAGTACTAAGGAAAACACATTTTATTGCAAAGGATATTACAAAGTATATAGATGAAGAGGTACATTGGGCAAGTTATGGGGGAAGGAGCTCAGAACCTCCACACCCTCCACAGGCTCCCTAGTCTCCAGGAACCTCCCTGTGTTCAGCGCTCTGGAAACTTGCCAAATTTAGTCTTTTTTTTTTTTTTTTTCTTAATGAAAGCTACATTACATAGGCATGACTGATTAAATCACCGGCCATTTGTGATCAACCCAACTTTCAGCCCTTCTCCCCTCCTGGGAGGTTGGGGGGTAGGGCTGAAAGTCCCAACCCTCTAATTCTGTTCTTGTCTTTCAGGACCAGCTCCTATCCAGAACCTATAGAGGCTGCCAGTCATCAGTCAACTCACTAGCATACAAAAAGACACTTATCACTTAGGAGATTCCAAGCATTTTAGGAGCTGTAGGCCAGGACATAAAGGAAGACTAAATATATATTTCATCATGTCACACTTCTATACCACTAAGCACCAACCTATGCCCACTAATCCTAAGAATACCTAACACTTGCATAGCTCTTCAAAGAGTTTAACCCACATTATTTCATTTTATTTTATTTAATCCTTACAAGTCCGTAGTACAGATGGAGCATGTAGTACTGTCCCACTTCACAGATAGGGACACAGAGCACAGATAGGCAGAAGAGTCAGAACTTGATCCCAAGTCTTCTCATTAGCACAGGGTGCTCCTCCCTCTGTATGAGACACCCTCTCCTAACAAGTACCTGAGAAACGCTAGTAGGATAAACTAGCTTAGCCTCTAACAAATGCCTCCAACCAAAGCCAAATCTAAATGATAAATTACACACCCTTCCAGTTTACAAAGAATATACTTTAAAATCTGATAAGACACTTCAGTGTTAAAACACTTAAACAGCTTGAAGTTTGGTGTTTGCAGTGGACTTTTCGATTGCTAGACAACCATTCCCCTTTCTTCTGGTAGTAGCCCTGACTTCCTTTCCTCTCTTGTACTGTACAGCTGTGCAAGACCATCAGTAAAGGGTGCTATGGGTCTTGAGCTCAACCAGTTCCTTTCCTCTGGCTTTGGAATCCTGAGCATAGTGCCTCAAGACAGAAAACACAGTCAAAGAGCCAGGCGTGGTGATGTGCACCTGTTGTGTCAGCTATTTGGAAGGCTAAGGTGGGAGGATGGCTTGAGCCCAGGAGTCTGATGTTACCGTGAGCTATGATGGTGCCACTGCACTCCAGCCTGGGAAACAGAGCAAGGACTTGTCTGTAACCGCCCCCCCCCAAAAAAAAATTAAATATAGAAACAAGAAAACTCAGTAAAAGACAGGATTCCTCCCAGTGGCAGACACATGACGTGACAGTCGATACACTCGCGTGACTTGGATCTTTAAAGCAGCTGCCCTGCATCCTGCCTTTGTCTTCCAAGGTGCTTTCCTTGATTCTGTTAACCTACCTTATGGCCTTCAAATAGATTCCCCTTTTACTTAAATTAGCCAGCGGTAGTTTCTTTTGCTTATAACCAAAGACGCTTCACTTAGAAATCATAACTCAGTCTTTTTATAGTTAAGAATATGTAGATTCAGGACCAATTTGAAGTGTCAGGGCCAGGTTTAGAATCCTGGTGACCTCACCTCTCATCCAGGGTATTCCTTGATTTTACACAGAGGCTAATTCACAGTAATTTATTAGAATATGGAAGAAGAGAGGAAATTTCAAAGCCAAACTTTTGTGTAAGCCAAGGCTGGCGCCTGCAGAGAGGGGCATATTGATCAGTTACTGTTCTGCAAGACCAAAGAAGACCAAAGGAACTTTCAGAAATACAAACAACAGTTTGAAAAAACAAACAACAATAAAAAACAAAGCAAATTTTCAGCCTAGGCAGTTAATCAAGGAACCATACTTAAAAGTGCCCAGCATGGTCCCTGGTATTTAGTAGATGCTAATGAATCTTAGACTATAGTATAACATTTGTGAATTACTATGATGGTCTTTGTCATTAAGAAAAGTTCAGTGGCTGGGCGTGGTGGCTCACGCATGTAATCCCAGCACTTTGGGAGGCCGAGGCAGGTGGATCACAAAGTTAAGAGATCCAGACTATCCTGGTCAACATGGTGAAACCCTGTCTCTAATAAAACACAAAAATTAGCTGGGCATGGTGGCGTGTGCCTGTAGTCTGAGCTACTTGGGAGGTTGAGGCAGGGGAATCGCTTGAACCCAGGAGGCAGAGGTTGCAGTGAGCCGAGATCATGCCACTGCCCTCCAGCCTGGTGCCTGGCAACAGAGTGAGACTGTCTCAAAAAAAAAAAAGGAAGAAAGAAAGGTTCAGTTATGCTCCATGAACTGTTTAATCAGGCAGGAAAATGCATGGTTGGTTTCAGAAACAGTTTTAGAAACAATAGAGTGAGATAAGGAATGGAAATCAAAAGGAATAATTTTATTTAGGTGGAAAATTAACATCTGTACATCTAATTCCTCAGAGGTGCTTGATAGATTGGATGCATATAATACTATCATAGAGTCGTTATCTTTCAGTTATATTGGTTCCTTTATTCACCTAATCCTCTGTTGAGAATTATTATTAAGAAGGGATTGAGCACTGGATACAAATGAGATTGAGATCTGGCTGGCAGGGTTTACATTACTCACTGCTTCTGTGCCTCAGTTTCCTC